TGTGTGTTTGCGTATAGATAGAGAAATAGACAGGTGTATATATTTTTCTCCACTTTTGCAATATAACTTGTGATAAGATTTTCTGCAGTGATATGTAAAACAATTTGTTGATCTTTGCATCGTTAAAGAATTATCATCTCCAGGGTCAGACGAGGTCAAACGAAGCCTTGAAATTTAATACAGGTTGTGTGGAAGGATGAATGACCTGATTCGACCCAGAGAATGAGAAATAAAATAAAAATTAAAAATTAGTTTGTTTTCTTCTTATTATTATTTTTTGCTTGTTAGATCTTTATAATTAGTTGCCTGGAAATCGGGAATAGTAGAGTATAGAAACTGCTAATTAATTCCTCTAACACCCTCGTAGTAAGGTTTAATAGTGTGTATCACACACAGATACACACACACATATATAATTTACACATACAGACGTATATATGTATATGCATACATATATATGTGTGTATTTGTGCGCTCGTTTATGTGTATATATATATGTATGTGTGTATATATCCTATATATAAATAAATATATATATATATATATATATATATATATATATATATATATATAGAGAGAGAGAGAGAGAGAGAGAGAGAGAGAGAGAGAGAGAGAGAGAGATTATGTATATACATATATATAAGTATATATGTATGTATATGTTTATACATATATTCTTTCTCGTTTTAAAACGCGGCAAACAGATGCACCCGAATACGTCTTCGCTTTTTGATTACTGTGTAATCAAAACCATTAATAGCATTAGTATTTCAAGAAATCGCATCCACCTTAATATATTCAATATAACATCCACTGTCATTAAACTGAATGAAAATAATGATAAGTGAAAATCGTATTATAAATAGAAAGAAATTCAATATTTTCATGTAAACGTAAGTATAGACTTTCCATGAAATTGCCAATGCATTGTTAGCTTAAACGACTTTTCAGTGACCTTGTAATTACGTTGTTTGGAAATTGTATCCCTACTTCGGTCGCCTGAGGTCAACCGATCTTTCCCACAAGGAAATCAAAGTTTGGAGAGTCGGTTGACCTCGTCTGGCCTCGGAGATGATCGAAAAGTACATCTTTGTTGATTAAGTAAATTTCCTCTTTAGTTATCTGCCTGTATTTATATGTATATGCATATGGATATACATATATTAAAAAATAGGTATATATATTATGTAAATATCAATATATATGTGAATATATATATATATATATATATATATATATATATATATATACACATATATATATGTTAATATACATATACTAAAATATATATACATTAAAAATGTAAATGTATCAATACATATGTATATGATATATATGTGGGGGGGGGGGGGTGTATGTATGTGTATGATAACATACAGGTATTGAGAGAGATTATCTAACCTTTACAATATGTGTGCATAAATAAGAAGATACATGCGTGTATTTGTAGTTGTTTGCAATTAAACCTGTCACAACATATTCTGCAATGATACGTGAAATAATTCAATAATCTTTGCAAATCCCCAGGGTCAGACGAGGTTAATCGACACTTTGAAATTTGATTGGGTTGTGTGGAAGGATGAATGACCTGAATCGACCCCACAAAATGAGATATAAAATAAGGTGTTAATGAAATAGGTGTAAGAGCAACTTAACGGTAGTTGGTCAATTATAACAATAATTTTCTGTCTTTTATTCTACCTTTACTTTGAAACAAGGTGCGAAAAAACGTAACTTGTGAGTTAGGTTTTACTAATATTTGTATGTTAGAATTTTATTATTAATTGTCTGTAAATCGAATATTGTAGAGTAAAGAAATTGGCCATTAATTTCTCTAGTACCTTCATTATTTTTTTCCATAGTGATGAAAGCTGTTTAAAAAAAGCGAGAGGGAGAGGAAGAGAGAGAGAGAGAGAGAGAGAGAGAGAGAGAGAGAGAGAGAGAGAGAGAGAGAAAGGAGATGTATGTGCACACATGTCAATATATATATATATATTTGTATATGTATATTTATTTATCTATATATATTCTTTTATTCGCTTACTTTGAAATGCGGAAAATGATACACCTGAATGCGTCTTCGCCTTTGATCACAGTTTGATCAAAACACATTAATAACATTTCTATTTACAACATCGCATTCAGTGCATTCCATGTAATCTCCAATGTCATTAAGCTGAATGCAAATAATGGTAAAGACAAAAACCTTATTCTAAATAGGAAGAAATTAAATGATTTTTAGGTAAACTTCAATATGGAAAAACAGGAGACTCTAAGTTGAGCAACGCATTGTTAGCATCTTTAAACGACTTTTCAGTGACTTCGTAATTACGTTGTTTGGAAATTTGTGTCCCTACTTCGGTCGCCTGAGGTCAGCCGATCTTTCCCACAAGGAAATCAAAGTTTGGAGAGTCGGTTGACCTCGTCTGGCCTCGGAGGAGATGGTCGAAAATTAAATCTTTGTTGATTCAATACCTTTCCTCTTCATTTATATGTCTATGTTTATACGTATATCCCTATATATATATGTATATATATATATATATATATATATATATATATACAAATGTATATGTATGTTTATGTGTGTGTGTGTGTAGTGTGTATGTATGTATGTATGCAGGTATGCATATCTGTGTGTGGAAGGTGTATGTATGTGTGAATGATATAGATAACGAGGGAGATTATTAAACCTTAATACCTTTCATCACTATGGAAGAATTCTATGAAAGCATTAGAGAAATCAATGACCAATTTCTTTATTCTTCTCTTCTTGGTTTATAGACGACTAATAATAAAATTCTAACAAATAACTATCACTGAAAAAAACTCACACTTTACGGTCTGAACGATGCAAAAATAAGTAATTTGTTTTACATATTACGGAAAATCTTGTCACAATTTATATTGCAAACGGGTGGAAGATATATGCATCTATCTATTTATCAATCTATACACAAACATACACATTCGCTGTAAAGGTTTAATAATCTCCCTCAATATCAATTTGTTATTATACATACATACATCCCCACACACGTACATACATACATACATACATACAGACAGACAGACAGACAGACAGACAGACATACACACATATATACATACATACATAAATACATATATAGGTATGTATATATATATACATATATATATATATATATATATATATATATATATATATATATATATATATACACATGTATATTCATATGCATTTAAATATGTACAAACATACATATATATATACATATATATATATATATATATATATATACATATATATATAAATATATATATATATATATATATATATATATATATATATATATATATATATAATATTGAATGAGAGAAAGAGGGGGACATGCTTTACTGAACATATAGAGACATCGTGGTTAAATTTAAACGAAGTAAATATAAAACTATTTTCTGCTCACGTGTAACACGTTGGTGTGTTTGTGCGTGTATGTGTAGTTCTGATGATTAGATGGCCTAGAAATACCATATTAACAGTATATCAAAACTATAACTATTTCTAACTATGAGTGTATTCGACTGGCATTAAGACGGTGGCGAAAAGATTCAATCATTATCATTATAAATGCATCAAATATTGCACTGATGAGTAACTTTGAAAGACAGAAAATGCAAAACAGACCACTAGGTAGCAGATGATATGAGTGATGCTAATGCCGAAAAACAAAATCTACAAAATTAGATAAAGCGAAATATCAGCAATAAAGATTCTAAGAACTAAAATTTCCAAGAAAAAAACCAGGTTGCAAAAAGCGTGATGCTACATGATCTTGATATTCAGATGTGGACTACATACAGAGAGCAATAGCATAAATATATGGATAAACAGATAGGTAAATAAATAAATAAATACATATGTATATATATATATATATGTGTGTGTGTGTGTGTGTGTGTGTGTGTGTGTGTGTGTGTGCGTGTGTGTGTGTGTGTGTGTGTGTGTATGTGTGTGTGTGCGTGAACTTACTTATAAAAACATAAGCTGGGAAAAATCATAAGGATGATTTATAAACAATTATATACGGTTAAAGAAGCTGCATCTGTAAAAATAGTCGTGGCATGAAGGATGGAAAAAATAAGTATACTATTAAGTCAAGAATATAAATGAAATTAAGCAGCGAATTGCGATCCTGGAACTAATAAAGAAATACAGGGTAGAAAAAAACAATGCATAAACTGATATCCAGGTGGATTTCAAAACTGTTTTCTCATTATCAGTAAATCCAGTTTGCGCATTGTGGGTTTCTTCTACCATAGTGTTAACACGGGTAGAGTGTTTAATCATTCAGAGAAATGTATGAATATGTTTTTTTACTGGTATAAATTTATATTGCTATTATATATCAAATACAATATCAAATTTAAGTAGGAACATTTGCGTGATGAATGTGGAATATTTTTCATTTCATATTCAGTCGTATGATAGCTCCTTCTTTGTTGTTTTAATGAATGATAATGAAGTAACGGCATACTGATTCAAACTCGAAGAAAAATCATATTTTGGTACGACTTATAAAAATCTTACTCAGAAGTTTTAGACACTAATCTGCTCAGTATTAAGAAAACCACATAATACTAATTGTTGTTGTAAAGTCACAGGATAAAACTACCAAACTATTGTATATTTTCTGTAAAACTCTTTTATGCGAGGTCAAAGCAGGTCATCCGGTCTTATATCGGCGCTCATTGGATGCAGCGACCTGACGATAGTAACTTGCGATTTTGAGCTCTCTGCATACACGTCCCAAGGGTGTAGTTCACGTGCCTGAGGTCCAACAGGTATTCCATTCACAGATATCACCTTGGGGATTTCACGCGACATTGGGCTCTCGGTAGAAGGTGCACAGAGCTTGCTATCCTCTGAGACCTGAGGCCTTAAGCTTCGTCTTTCCCAGGCACTCGAGTCTCAAGTAATATCTAGCTGTGGCACTCTTCCAGGGCAGTCACTTGGCGCCAACATGTCTAGCACAATCATCTCTCTCGTGTCCATGGCAATTATGACATCTTATGTCATCCATGCCTCACCCGTCACGTACTACAGGTTCCCGATCCACGTGAACACCGTGAACATTGCCAACAACGTGATCCAGTCGAGGGTCAGCCAACGCGACGTCTTCGGGCTGTCCAAGACGCTGTCCGGGGGCGCTGACTCCGTCGTCTCCAGCCTCGACCTTCCTTTGCCTGAAGGTGAGTTCTCGATATTTTCCTTCGTTGTGTCAGGAGATCATAGGGGCGATTTTGCAATGCGACTTTGAAACTTAAGAAATGAATAATAGTTAATTAGATTTAAAATTAAATGAGAGGAACTTAAGATTAAAAATCAAATGGTAGGTATTTAAATATTATGGTAGTTATGTTATACGTCAGTTTGGTTTGATTTCGTTTGAATTTAGTATCTCTGAAGATGATAGTAATTTCTCTGACGTCGTGACTTCTATATCCCAAAAAATCTTTGATCTTCAATTAGTAATAACTGCCTTTCAAATATCGATTCATAAAACGCATCTAAACCAAATTAGTAGCAAATCCAAAACACAAAAAAAACACTACGTCAAAAAAAATGCTACGAGTCCAACCATATAAAAAAAAATCATTATTCATAAAAAAAAAACCTGCACCGTCTAAAATCTATTCCGTTATTGAGCTAATTCTATCTTCGTGATGAGGACTCTGAGGCGTGTCGAGCTAATACATTTTCTTCGGGTTATGAGGCGGTTAAAAAAACAATAACGAGGTTTTATGAGACGGGTTTAGGTCCGGCTCAGAGCGCCGGCCAATGCTGCAGGTTAGGTTTCCCGGAACCTGCAGAAGGATCTTGTTGTTATTATTATTATTATTATTATAATTATTACTATTATTATTATTACTGTTGTTGCTGTTGTTATTATCATTATTTATTTATATATCTATTTATTTATTAATTATTATTATTATTATCATTATTATTATCATTATTATCGCTGTCACTGTTATTAAATGTTCATCTACTTGAGATATTGGTGTGCTTTTCTTCCTCTTCTTCTTTTCCATTTTTTTTTCTTTTTTTGGTATTTCGGAAATCCTAACCCCGTTTTTTTCCTTATCTATTTTGCAGTGTCCAGCAGCGTCAAACAGAAGCGCTCTCGGCATTCCAACAGCGAAGTGAGAATTCCGGACTCTGTTGCCGAGACTCGTGATCTGGACTCGAGCAACGGCGACTACGAGGACGACCTTCATTACGACGACCACCCTTCTGCGGACGACTACCCCGCTCAGGACGACTACCCCGCCCATGAGGACCACCTTGGCCATGAGGGTGTGCGCGCTAAGCTCCTCGCTGCCATGGGTGAGTGTCGTGGATTTTGTAAACACGGACTTTACCTGTGAATATATTACGTGTTATTATATCTAAGGTGTAATATGATCGTATTTTTATTTCTTCTTCTTCTTTTTCTTCATCTTAAGCAAAGCTATTTATTTATTCATATATTATCATTCCTCATTATTTTTTTCTTCTTTTTCTGCATCTTAAGCAAAACTATTTATTTATTCATATATTATCATTACTTATCAATTTTTTCCTTCTTTCGCAGGATTGTCCTCGGCACCTTCCCTACACCACGGCACGGGTCGCGGGCGTCACGTACCCGAGTACATGTGGAGTATGTACCGCCAGCTGGTCTCTTCGCCCGCGTCCTGCTCCAACACGGCTTTCGTCAGCGTCCCTAATCTATGTAAGTCAAATATGTCTTTACTGTAAATAAGTGTTTTGTTTGTTTGTTTGTTTTTTAGAACTCACTCAAGGATATTGCTCGACTTTCGCTGGGTATATTTGTACTTTAAGATAAAGGAAGAAATTGGATTTATATTATGATGTGATGTTAATAAGTCGCCGTTGCTTTCTCGAGTGAATTTCGCCGAATCTAACCCGCCCCCCCCCTTACCCACAGTCGGCGACTTCTCCACCGGCTGCCACGCCCAAGAGATCTTCTTCGATCTCAGCCGCGGGGAGGAAGCCGGCCACAACCTCCAGTCTGCGCATCTGCACGTCGAACTCCCGCTCAAAGCCGGCCACAAGCACAAGAAGGCCGCCCACAGCAAGCACGCCCACAAGAAGACCCCACACCATCACCTACCCCACACCGCCGCCCTTCTTGAGGTTACGCTTGCCTTCCTGGACAACACCACTGCCCCGAGGAAGAAGGTGAGGCTTGCTTTTGTTTTTTTTTCATAAATTCTCTAAACCCAATTCGTGAACTAAAGGGAATCCAATTCTACATGCACGCTAGGGTCATTTAGCTAGCAGTACGATACTTCAAGACAAAAGCGTTTCTGAACTGAAATTCGATATGAGGGAAGGATATTGGTTCATTCAGCTGAACTCGTTACTCACCCTATCGTCGTACACACTCACTGCCAAAAGACGATTCCTATGAGCATTAATCCATTCTCGGAGACGTATAAGTGCATGTGACTCAC